GCAGGAGGGTGAGGGGGGGTGTGAAACAAAGAGCTGCCAATCTTCCTGGAGGCATCACCGGCTCCTGGAACCAGGGTCACTGGGAAAGAGTCGTGGAGGCCTCCCTGCCTCCTGTGCCTCCGTAATAGTCCTCTCCCCCAGGTGCCTCCCTCTCCCCTGTCATCCCGTTGTTGGGGGCCTGAATACACAGCACTACCTAATGCTACTGTTTTCTGGAAGCCACAGTCGGGGAAGGCAGGAACCCCTCGCAGGGGCAGTCCCAGACAGTAAGCATTATTCCACATCTGGCGGGAAAGGATGCCAAAGGAGTGGCCGAAACTAGCTTGCTGTAGTGCCCAGGGGATGCCCACATGGCATGAAGTTTGCTGCTTTGACGGAGCAAGTGCTCTTTATTAGGGTGGGGGTTCTCTGACATGTGCCTTTCCTCCATTTTCCCTCATTCCTAGGAAAACTTGGGAGTCTGGAAGCGTCTGATGGGAACTGGAAAGAGTATAAAACAGTGGTCAGTGAGGTCGGAGTGAAGAAATCAGGAAAGAGGAAAGGGACACCAGGGACAGGAGTAGAAGACCAGAGGACAAGCCAGGAGACATGGACCAGACTGGGGAACACTGTGGGTACTAGCGGACGATAGGCCATGACCCGGACGAAACGGAGGGGCGCCTGAGTTCCAGCTACCAGGCAACAGCCGCGAGCCCCACCTCCCCTCCCCCACCCAGGCCCCAGCCCGGCCTCCGATCGGCCGCCGCCACCGCCCCTGTTTTGTTTCCATGGCGACAGGCGGCGAGGGCCCGCTCCAAACATAACGCGCTGTGGAAAACATGCGGCTCGGGGGACCCCCCCCCGGAGTCCCCGCTCGGGTCTGAGCCCCGAGGGGCTCCGGAGCAGTCCACGCCACGTGCAGCTTGTCAAGAGCCCCCAGAGCCAGCCCAGGCGCACAAGACCCGCCTCTCCTGGGCCCGCCGCGTTCTGGGAGATTCGGGGCTCCCCTTGGCCAAGGCGCCGTGACTCTCCGAGGCGCAACCGGCTGCGAGCCCTCCCCTACTTCGAGGGCCACTTACGGCCGCCCTGCCCCGCAGCTCGCGGCCCCGCCCCCAGCCGTCCGTCCGCCCGCCCCTAGAGCCAGGAGAAGCTGCACCTCCCCCGCTGCCTCCCCAGGTCCCCAGCCCAGAGCGGCCAAAGGGGCGGGGCCGTGCGGGGAGGGCAGAAGTGCCCAGGGAGGTGCTTCCGGGACAGAGGGCGGGCAAGATGGCGGCGCCCATGGAGCTGTTCTGCTGGTCAGGAGGCTGGGGACTACCGTCAGTGGACCTGGACAGCCTGGCCGTGCTGGTGAGGGGTGGCGCCGGCGCCCTGTGCTGCGCCCTGGAAGACTGGGGAGGGGGCCCAAACTAGCCGAGTATCCGAACTTGGCCGGGGCGCCTCAGCACGGGCGCAGTGGGAGAAACTGAGGCAGTCAAAGAGCGTGCTTGGCCAAGATGGGCTCAATACCCTGTGCCGTAATTTCCTAGGCTTCGTACAGCAATGGAAAGAGTCCTGGTCAGGGGTTCAGGAGATGGGTTCTAGTACTTGCTCATCCATTTATTGGCTGTGTGACCTTGGGGCTATCCCTTCCCCTCTCTGGGTTCTGTTTCTTCATCCGGAGTTTTACCAGCCTGGGTGATCGCAGGGATCTCCTCCGGCTTGGCATTCCTGTCTTCTCCTCAGCTTCCCTTTCCTCCTCCTCCTCACTAAACAGTATTTACTGAGCCTATTGTTTGTTGGACCAAACGGCCCACAACCAGGCTCTGTAGAAAGAGCTTTAGTATCAGAAAGACTTAGTTCACTTCACTCATTAACTCATTCCTTGATTTGATAAGCATGTATTAGGCTTCTTCCAAATACCAAACATTGCTACTCTACAAGGATGAATAAGACTTGGTCCCTCCCCTCGAGTTATTTACAGGAAGACAGACATGTAAGCAAATAAATGAAACAAAATGTTCAGGTGTAAGATATAAGTAGGAACAGGCCACAGAAAACTGCCAAAGAAGAAGAGCATGATTAGTTCTTCCAAGAAGAGGGATACTGGTTAGGGAAAAGCTTCTGAGGATAGGTGTTCATCAGGTAGATGTTAGGAGAGGAGACAGAGGGAAGGATTTTCCTGGCTGACCTGTAATCATGGACATGTCCATAATTTCTCTGATCCCATTTGTGAAAAGGGAATAGTAATATCTATCTCTTTTTTTGTACTAAGATACTAAGCATAATAAATTCAATAAATGCTTTTTCTCTTCTTGATTCACTTGTGAGGGCCATGGCCCTGGCCATTCTACCTTCTGCTTCCTTCCCTGCAGACCTATGCCAGATTTACTGGTGCTCCATTAAAGGTGCACAAGATCACCAACCCCTGGCGGAGCCCTTCAGGTACCCAGCAACCCTGGGTTGAGGAGGGGGATGTACGAGGGGAGGAGCAGGAGACAGGCAGGAATGTGGTGCAAGTATGTATGGATAGGCAGCTAAGGGTCTGGTGGACATACTTGTCTCTCAATGTCAGGAACTCTGCCTGCCCTTCAGACCAGTCATGGAGAGGTGATCTCAGTACCACACAAGATCATCACCCACCTTCGAAAAGAGGTAAGTGGCTTGGATAGGGGAGCTTTCAGTGAGAGAAGTTCAGTCAGTTCAGTGCAACACATTTATTGAGCACGAGACATATATCAAGCTAGACACAGGTGACCCAGAGCATCAGGAGAACACAGTCTGATGGTAGATGATGTTGCTGTGATGCAGTAGAGCAGTAGACCAGAGAATAAGCTCAGGGTACCACTGGGCAGGGAGGGAGAGAGGCATAGACCGATGACACACGGAGGAGAAAGGAGAGTGGAAGAAAGCAGTTGGCTCTGATGAGGCCCTCAAAGATGGGACTGGAGAGGGACTTCTAAGGGCCATTTCCCTATTTTCAGGGACTAGGTTGGGCTGGATATGGGGCTCAGGATGGACAAGGCTTAGAGCCAGGTTGGGGAAATTGAAAGAGCATTACAAGAGGAGTGGGGAAGCCGAGGCTATGTTCTTTACTCTGTTATTGAGATTGGGCAAATCACTTAACCTTTCAGAGCCATAAGCTCCTTATCTGTAAAACTAGTGGGCTTAGCCAGCATGCTTTCCAAGGGTTCTTCTAGCATTCCCGGTCTGGTTCCAAAGGGAACACATTGTCAGAAGTAGGTTACTCTTCCTCATTTCTGGTTTCCCAAAGGTGAAGGAGATAGGGAATTAATGGAAGCTTGAGAGAACTGGAGAAAGGGAATCCAAATAAAAGCCAAATTTTCTGGCAGGGCCTGGGCCACTGTCCTGATTCCTTATGCATGAACAGAAATTTTCCAATTTCCAAAATGTTTTCTCCTAAATTATTTTCTAACACAGCCACATTGAGAAAAAGAGATGATTACCTTCATTCCACAGGGAAGAAACTGAGGCTCATAGAGATTTAAAAATCATGCTCAAGAGGTTATTTGGGGACAAAGTTTACTCAGGGTTGGAGGGAATGCTGAGGAGCAGAGACTGGAGCCTGGGAAGGTAGGGCAGGCTGAGACCTGGGGGTAGGGGTGGAATGTGTGTGTGGTGGTGGCGCCTGGGCCATGGAATGAAGTGGAAGAAACAGCCGAGAGCTGGGCATTGAGGGAACAAGCCAGAGGGCCCAGGGAGCGTGAGGACGGCGTCCCCTAGTTCCTGAGGCATGGACTGAGGCCCAACCTGCATCTGAGCTCTGCTCTGCTAGCTTTGTGGTGTCTGGATCGGGGAAGTTACTGTTAGAAAGTTGCCGTCAGCAGGCATGTTGCCAGCTTTCCGTGGAAATTCTGGGAGCTGCTCCTAGTTTGTGGCCAGGCCTTCCTTCCTCCCCCCGATGGGCACAGGACCTTGACAGCCAGCGGGATCCAAAGCCCAGGCCTTCTGCCAACAGCAACAGGCTACTAGCTGGGACCAAGCAAGGGGGCCTCAGCAGGAAAAGCTCCTTGCTCTACCTCTGCTATCCTCAGGGCCAGTGACAGGGGTACCAGACAGGATTCCTCCCTCCCTGGGGAAGTGCCCTGGCAGTCCCACAGTGTCTACCTCATGGATATTTCCTCCACAGAAGTACAATGCTGATTATGATCTGTCAGCCCGGCAAGGGGCAGACACCCTGGCCTTCATGTCTCTACTGGAGGAGAAGCTGCTCCCAGTGCTGGTGAGTGTGCCCAGACTTCCCAACATTCATGGCGAGCAGGGACGGGGGTCAGGCCCACACACACACACCCATGGACTCAGAGCAATGTGGGGGTCCACAGCCCATCCAGGGTTAGGTAGGTGCACTGGCTCAGACCTCCCTCTTCCCTCCTGCCTACCCAATCCAGATACACACTTTTTGGATAGACACAAAGAACTATGTGGAAGTGACCCGGAAGTGGTATGCAGAGGCTATGCCCTTTCCCCTCAACTTCTTCCTTCCTGGCCGCATGCAGCGGCAGTACATGGAACGGCTGCAGCTGCTGTGTGGGGAGCATAGGCCTGAGAATGAGGAAGAGCTGGAGAAGGAGGTAGCTCCGGGGCAGGGGGTTGTTGTATGTGATGAGCCGCAGGATGATGGCCAGGAATGGGAGTGCCTAGGAGGGGTGGTGGCACTTCCCGCAGCCGCAAGCCTACCTGTGTCCTCCCTATAGCTGTACCGAGAGGCCCGGGAGTGCCTGACACTTCTCTCTCAGCGCCTGGGCTCTCAGAAGTTCTTCTTTGGAGATGCGTGAGTCTGACTCCAGGGGGTAATGGGTAGCTTGGAAGAAGATACAGGTTCAGATGTAGCAGTTGGGGCTGGGTGGGCTTAGGCTCGGACCAGACACTGGCTCTGGTGACAGTGGGGCTGTGTGTGGGGCCAGAGTCTCCTCAGTGGCACAGGAGCGTAGGATGGGAGGGCAGCCAGGCTCAGGAGGGGCCTGCAGGGCTGTAGGGCATTCAATATGCCCATTATGCAGCCCTTGGATAGAGCCCCATTCAGGGCCAGGCTGGCGCCATCTGGGGAACCATACCCATGCCAGGTCCACAACTGTGTGTCCTGTCTTCCCCTAGTGGCCCCCTGCTGCCCAGAGCCCACCTCCCAGGGCTGACTCTTCCTTTAGCTCCATCTTTATCCCTTCTGCCCCAGTTGTCCTCCTTCATCCCATCCTTCTCTCTCTGCTCCAGCCCTGCCTCCTTGGATGCCTTTGTCTTTAGCCACTTGGCCCTGCTGCTACAGACAAAGCTGCCCAGTGGGAAGCTGCAGGCCCACCTGCAGGGGCTGCACAACCTCTGTGCCTATTGCACCCACATCCTCTGCCTCTACTTCCCCTGGGACGGAGGTAAGGGGCAGATGAGCAGATGGGATGGGATGGCCCTGGGGAGAGTGGGCAGGGATCCAGGAACTAGGCCCCCTGCCCACCCTTCTTCCTTGCCCCTCAGCTGAGGTGCCACCCCCACAGCAGACACCAGTAGGCTCAGAGACTGAGGAGGAGCCATACCGGCGCCGGAACCAGATCCTATCCGTGCTGGCAGGACTGGCAGCCATGGTGGGCTACGCCTTGCTCAGCGGCATTGTATCTATCCAGAGGGCAACGCCTGCCCGGGCCCCTGGCACCCAGGCCCTGAGCATGGCTGAAGAGGATGAAGAGGAATGATTTATCCTCATTCTCCCAGGACTTGTTTTTCTACTGTCATGCATTCCAGAGGCCCCTGTGCCTCCCCATTGTTGGTACAGCCAGAAATGGGGTGCTACCACCCAGAATAAAGCTGCTCACACTGACTGGGATCAAACATTCTCTCCTTTAGGGGCTGCCATTTTTCCCAGCTTGTGCCAATGGAGCCATCTGGGTGCTGGAGCCTACCCACTGGCACTTGGCTGCTTTAGCTGCTTCTGCCCTGATGATGACATTGCTTCTGCATGGGCCCAGTTCTACATCTCCTGAAAATACATACAGTCCCCACTTTGGAGTCCAGCTTTCCTAGTCTCTTCCTCTCCTTAACACCCCTCCCACCCCCCACTCCCATCCTATGTTTGTACAGACAGTGAGCTCACCCTGGGCCTGGGCCCAGTTTCCACAGACAGCCAGCACATAGCACACACTCACACAAGCATGGGGAGTGGGGGGACACTGGTGCTTCCTCATCTTTCTCTGGGGGCCTCCAGCCCCTGGCACCAACTACAGGGGAGAGTGAGTCACCCAAACCACTGCCCCTGGGCTTATGTCACTTTAAGTTCATTCCGGTCCTGCTGTGCCCTGTTTAGCCACAGACAGCATGTGAGCTCACTCTGTCCTTTTAATGCCCATGCTGAGCCAGATAAATACTCAAGGTGCCTGTCTGAAGGTGGACCAAAGGCAAAATGTCCACCAAACTGAGAAGGTATCTTGAGACTGAAAAATGAAACAGGCAATTCTATGCAATAAAGCAAAGGATTTTATTAAAGGGCAACTTACAGGATGATAGATATAACACCAAGGTCAAGGGTTCGGATCCCTGTACTGGCCAGCTGCAAAAAAAATAAGAAAACAGGATGACAGGTTGGGTGGACAACCCAGAGGCATACAAAGAGATTCTCTGTACCAGCTCCTGACTGAGCTCAGGTTTATATAGACAGTTCATACAAAGCAGTGGGAAAAGTCAAAAGGAAGTTACAAGCTAATGTAACCAACTCCAAATGTATGCAGATGCCCAGGCTGGCTTATTGCCACACCAGTACTGACTCTTAAAAGTTTCTTCTTTATTGGATTCCTGCATCGGCCAGCCACCAAGGAAAACGTTTCTTCTTTACAGTCAGCAGGTTGTTACTATCTATTGTTCTAACTACCTTACCCCTAGTTACTGTATAACTTTTATGGGCAAAGCTCACACGAAGGACATAGCAAGCAATAAGGGCTAAAGATGGAGTCAGTTACGCTTACAGTCTCACAGTGCCTGCTTGGGAATCTGTTCTCTCATTGGCGACGCCACAGGTAGGTGTGAATGGAGTAGCCAGGCGAGATAGTCTCCAGGAAGCCCACGGCAGGATCCTTGATGGTAAGAGGCACATCCTTAGAGGAGCTGGGGAGAGAGGAGGAGAAGATGAGAGAGTGATTTGCCAAGGCCCATCACCCTGTCTTCCACCCAGCTCCCAGACCCTGCTGTTGGCCTCACCGATTTAGCACAACCACAACTGCAGAGCCATCAGGACGCACCATTGCCACTGTATCCAAGTCGTTCTTCTCACTGGCAACCAGCCCCACTCTCTGGGAGCCCTCAGGAATGAACTTGCTGGATGTGGGAACAGGTACTGTCAGAGATCCCAGCCCAGCCCCTCTGGTCCTCAGGGCACCTCCCATCAAACCCTCATCTAACACATCATCCACCTGCCTCCCCCAATAATTTCTGCCAAAGCACTGTTCCAATTCTAGGCCTTGAGCCATGCCACTGGGAACTGGCCCTGCCTTCCCGCATCTAGCCCCAGCTTCAGACATTCAGGGATTGTCTGTATCTCTGATGTCACCTAGTCACTTCCTGCCTATATGATGCAAGAGGGGATGGGTGTATCTCTCTCAAGGTTCCCACCCTAAACACCTTCTTGTTCACTCAAGGTGCAGGGTGATGTAAGCCCAATGCGGGAGATGATAGGTCTGGTGTGGAATGGAAGTGCCTGCCCTCCACTCACCTGAAGTGGCCAAGGTGGTAAAACATGGGCTGCTTGTAAAACATGTCTTTGGTGATGTCTACAATGATAGGGCTGTCAACAAAGTTGCGTACCCAGTTGGGTCCCCCTTCGGGGTTCAGGGCGAGGTTCCAGTCAGTCCAGCCAACCACATGGTAGAGGAGGTTCTAAGGAAGGGACAAGGGCAAAGAGACCGGCTGAACATGGGATCCCCAGAGAATGTAGTTAAGGGTCACATGAGGGAAATGGGGGTTGTGGATAGCTTATCCCAGTGAGGAGGACTTTCTATCTCCTTAATATCTAAGGAGAGGGGGATTGCAAAGAGGGAGGCATCTCAAGGGAAGTGGAGAAATCTGAAGCAGGTATAACTGCCTGAGACCTAAGCATCTGGGAAAAAGGTGATAGGGTGTGCAGATCTGTGAAGGAAAGGCAAGAGGAAGCATGGTATCCCAGAACTGCCACAAAGGGCAAGCTGGCTGGGGAAGTTGGAGAGGAAGGCCTTCTCTTGGCCCTTGGTGAGACTAGGCAGGGTTCTGAGGTGGTCTGATTTTTGAGAAGGGAGACTGGGGGGCTCACCGTGATGATGCTGTGGCTGTACTGCATCCCTCGATCCCAGGAGCCTAGCCGCACACTCTGCTCCCAGAACTTGGAGCCCACACAGGCCTCTGAGGCAAACAGCATGGTGTTCGGGAACAGGCGGTGTGTTTCCCCCAGGGTAGCTTTTGCTGGAGCCAGAAAGTCCAGATACCAATGTACAGCAATGCCATGAACGTACTTAGCTGCCTCTGGGTCTGACAGCACCTGCATAGAGAAGGGAGATGATGCGGGAGCCACTGACCTTGGGCCCTGCACAGAGGGTTCTGGAAGAGAAATTAGGAGTCCTGAAAAATGGGCGGTAGTATGAATGCAACTAGAGGAGGTTAAAGAGACAAGCATGGGGATCCAGGGGGCCCTGAAGGTCCAGAGGGGATGGTGGCCTGGGTACCAGGATCCAGTCCAGGGTGCTTTAGGAATCAAGAGTTGGGGCAGAAAAGGTACTCTAAGTTTGGAAAGTGGTCATTTGATGCTGGATTAGGGGTCACTGGAGCACTTGTGGAGGTCCTGGGCCTTACCACCTGTGCCCAGTGGGGCAGCAGCAAACGTTGGTCATCCAGCATGAGCAGACGGACATTGCGGTGAGTACTGTTGGCGAGGGTAGGACCCAGGTCACGGGCAATGAAGTCTCGCTGGTGTTCAGGGGTGAAGCCCAGGCACTGGAAGGGGTACCCACTAATCAGTCCTGCAGAAGGCTCATTCTCGGCCGTCACTGCCCAGAACTGCAACTTATGCTCAGCATAGGCATCCAGGAACCTGGCAAGGGAAAGGGCATGAGGGATCACGACCAAAAAAGTGGACCAAGACCCTGGGGAACAGGAGGCCCAATGGAGTGGGGAAAACTGATGGGCCCAATTCAGAAAGGCCCAGAATGTAGAAAGGTAAGCTGAGGAGAGGCAGATCTCGAGGTGGAATCAGGTCCAGGGTTGGGCTATAGACCAGGGTGTCCAAAGGGAAGGCTGGTCCAGACCCCATGACCTTGCTGATCTCTTACTTGACAAAATATTTGGCCCAGGTCTGGTGGTAGATATTCCCCGGCTGACCCTTGAGTGACCCCTTCCCATTCACTGCCCCATTGGTCTTGAGCCAAGTGGGTGATGTCCAGGGACTGGCAAGGAGTGAGACAGGGCGCTTGGCCAATTCCAGGGCTCGGTGAATCAGGGGTATCTAGAGACAAAGGTAGTGAGAAGAGAGACACCCACAGTTGGAACACAGACAGACTAGCCCAACCAGTGCATCAGGTCCGGCCATCAACCCCTACCCTCCCACCGCAGGACAAAACAGAAAGCAAGGGACAGGTTCTGTGTCTCTTTGCAGAATTCCCTAGGCTGAAGCTTCTCAACCCACAGACATCAATGCCATCAGGGCCTGAGGCAGCCAGAATGCCCACTTTGAGCTTGATGTCTTCCTCTGGAAGGCTGAAGTTGTGCAACTGGAAGTCATCAGGGATGTCATCATAGGTGTAGACACGGATGGAGAAGTCACAGCTGGCCATGGGTACCCGGAGGATGTTATATTCTATTCCTGCAGAAAAGGATGACCAAGATATGGGAGTCTGAGTCAACAGGGGAAACAGACTTGGCTTATCACTTGCTAGTCCTTAATAATGTCTGAGTCAAGGCCAAAGGGAACTTGGGCTCCTGGGTTGGGCCTGTGGAGGCCAGCATCTGGGTGAAGCACAGGCCCTTCTGAGCCTGAGAGTCCCCAAGCACCTAGCAGAAGATTGGTAGGGCAATCTCATTTCACTGGAGAACTCATTTGGTTCCTTAATAAGAGAGGAACCAAATGTCAGGGGTGGGCGGAAGTCAGGGTCTAAGAAAAGGTCAAAGGAAGGTGTCAATTGCACTGTCACCTTGTCCCCCTCCTCACCTTCTTCAGAGAAGTATGATTTGAGTAGCAAATTCTGGGCGGGGGGTGACAGAGCAAGGATGTTGAGAGCAGCAGCATCTGTCATGGCCCCTCCAAATCCCTTCATTTTCTGGAACTTCTGTTCTGGCTGCAGGGTCAGTAGCAGTCCTAAGGACACCCATAGGGAATAAAAGGTGTTGGTGCACAGGGGAGAAACTCCCTGAGATCACAGGCACAATGATCACAGGCATGATTTAGCTCCAGAAGGATCCAGCCTGGCTTGGGGGTGAGGGGTGTAGTGGTTACCTGTGCCTGTGCGATTGGCCTGCATGGTCCCCATGCTCAGCTCCATCCGACGCCCACTGCGTGTACTCTCATAGCGGCTGAAGGTGCCAGGGACAGGAGAGGTCAGGGGGTCAAGAGAGTCACAGTAGGTGGCATTGCAGACACAGACCACCGAGCTGTAGCCAAAGCTCTTAGGGATGCAGGGGAGGGAACCTGGAGGGAGGGAGCATAGGCAGAGGCAAGGGCTGAAGGAGGAGGACTAGGAGAACAGATACATGACTTAGGAGAGACTGAATGCTGGTTTCAAAAGTTCTCTTGCAGGGCCGGCCCGTGGCTCACTTGGGAGAGTGCGGTGCTGATAACACCAAGGCCACGGGTTTGGATCCCTATATACG